TATTTAATATGTTCATCTACCTGTTAAGTCAGACCCAATGTCATCCATGATGCCCCTGTAGGTTTCCCTGGTCATTGTTACACCTGCTCTGTTAAGCCTCTTCATTGTCTGCAGAATATTAAAATACAAATAACCAGATCTGCATTTGTCTTTGGCAAGATTCACTACGGATCAAGTTTAACCAATCAAAAATAAAGTATAATGCTCCTTTAATAAAGCCCCGGTATGGCTGCAATAATACACATGAAAGCACAGTTAATTGTGATACATTAAATACCCTTTCAGTAACATGTCCAGTACTGAGCAATATACTGTTCATCTTCTGTATCAAGCTTAGTTCTTTCCACCAGGTAAACATTAGTATGCCATATATGCAGTACAAAGTGGGGCAATCTGCTTTGCACTGTCTTCATAAGCTGTGACATTTGGAATTGCTACAGCAGCTAGGACATCCAGTACATCAGGGACATGCTCCTTCATTTCTGTGATAACCTTTTCCCAGGAAAAATTCTTTAACTCCTGTTTAGAAATCAACTTGAATTAGATTAACAGTCAGTTTTTTCTAGAACATAGAATTATACATTTGTATGTTATCATGTTATTTCCCTTAATTAAAAAATGCATCATAATTTATTTATTTTTTATTTAGGGTTCTTAAAGATTATTTTGATCAAATTCCAATTTCAAGTGAATTTTAAATTTTATTGGTTATAAAAAAATTACAATGCCTGAATGCATTTTACTTTCTACACTAGCCCTTAACCATAAGGTTGTTAGTAATTACCTTGTGCTTGGAAGGTGGAGTACGAAGTACAGATGAATTCTCAGCACTCCTGTTGCAGAGTTTCTGACACTGTTCATTCACATCGTTCTAGAACAAACACTTAACTGCATTTCTTAAAGGTCAGCATTGCATGATTATCTCAGCAATCTGATGGGTTGTGCATCCAGTCAACATCAGTGTGGCCAACGTGTCAACAGTTTTGGTTCCTTCCTCCAAAAGTGGCTCATCTTTGAGCTAATATAAATTTTAAAAAGATGAACATATTCAAGATATTGGCAAACATCTGCATGCTTGGATTGATTGTAAGGTACCACTGGTAGTCCAATAATGACAGACTTTTTGTTCATGAATTCAGAGTACCTGAACACAATATACCAAAGCTCTTTCAATTTAAGTTAAAATCATTATCTTATCTCAAATAAATAACAAATAGACCACACCTTTCCATGGCACATGAAAAACTCTTGTATACTATCTTTAAAGGAGCAAATTAAGTATAGTCTACCAAGAAACTTGATATCGGAGCTCTCGCACGCGTGAAACGCGCGCAGCGGAACACCATGGGTAAAAAATTGTGATAAACTACCCATCCAAGAACACATGACCGTACACCGACTGACCGACCAACCATCCGTTCGCACCACAGGCATGTCAATTTAAAATCATTCAATCAACAGGTATGCTGGCAACCCAAATGCAACTCAAGGTTTTATTTGGAAAGAATCACATGACCGCCCGGACTTTTAGAAAGAAAAAACAACAACAAAAAGTTGTGTCTTTTTCGACGTTTTTTTTGATGTTTACACTCATGTGGATAACAGAGAAAGAGCTAAAGCGAGTGATTGAAAACAAAAGAGACAAATTTTGTAGGAAGGAAAACATGAAAATTCAAAGTGGCTGTGAGAATGAGAAATGCTAGCAGCCAGCAAGGTGAAAATGAGTGGCAGTGAAAAATAAAAGCAATCATGCATGAACACAGAAGACAAAATATTGGGTGAGCACTTATATGACAATTTCTCCATAAAAATAATGTGTAACTAGGAAGTTTGACGTCTTAGTCCTACAAAACAGCATTGTAGTTGTGCAAAACAACGAGAAAGCCAAAAAGCGTGCTGCATGTGCAAATTTGTGTTTTTGCTAATTAGAAAAAAAGTGTGCTGCACATGCAATTTGTTTCTTTGCTAATTAGATCTATTGATCTTGATGCCATTTTCATTGCCCTCCATATTTAGCATTACATGATTTAATTTTTTTTTGTTTACGTCAAGTATTATTAACCAAAGCTTCGCTTTTAGCCCTGGCTAAAAATATCTATATATTAATACTGCAAAGCATTGTCTTGACCATTTCCTTTTTATGCTTGAGGCACAAAGGGAAATCAAAGATGTCTATGGCCAAGACGGCAGACCGGTGTGGGATTGTATAACCTTTTTGGGCTTGTTTGGCTTAAATTTTTTAAAACTAAATACCTGTATAGCATATCATAATTAATTATAGTTATTCCTACCTGTGTTGGATATGCTTTGGTATGGCAGATTTGAGAGGCTCCATGAATTTAAAGAATTCAGCAAGAATACGGGCCACTAGGACGATGAAATCACTTCGCAACTTGTCAAGTTCACTTTGACACAGGAGGTACTCAATATTCTCAAATTGTGTGCCATCAGATATAGGTTTGGAATCATCGAGGTGATCAGAGGGTACTCTGTCGAATGTTACATAATGAGCAATCCAATGCATATCTGAGTGGCGGTGATTCTACAGTATGATGTTAACCAATACCTTGAAGTCCAGATTATCAAAGAATAACCTGGGTACACATCCAGCTGACACATGCCTTCTTATAGTGACTGTTAATTTAAAAAATAAAGAACAAAGCGTTTTAATTGAACTTCTTTTAGACAGCTTATGAAGTTCTATGCGTAATTGTATAGACCTAGATTTAAATGTTAAAAAGGAAGAAAATAAGTTTCATTATTAACTTTTCTTTAGGACTGATCCTTGCCACTTGACAGATTCTCTCCTTTTTAACACACAATACATTTTAATTACAGATTTTTTTTAACATAATGATATTGTTCCAGAGTTTCTAAAGTAAAACATGTATTTAAATTGTTTACTTTATTTTCAAATTTAAGACTGACTTACTAGCATATAGTAAATAATGAAAAACTAGTAACATGTGAATTCAAGAGGGTTAATTATTATTATTTAACATATTTAATATGTTCATCTACCTGTTAAGTCAGACCCAATGTCATCCATGATGCCCCTGTAGGTTTCCCTGGTCATTGTTACACCTGCTCTGTTAAGCCTCTTCATTGTCTGCAGAATATTAAAATACAAATAACCAGATCTGCATTTGTCTTTGGCAAGATTCACTACGGATCAAGTTTAACCAATCAAAAATAAAGTATAATGCTCCTTTAATAAAGCCCCGGTATGGCTGCAATAATACACATGAAAGCACAGTTAATTGTGATACATTAAATACCCTTTCAGTAACATGTCCAGTACTGAGCAATATACTGTTCATCTTCTGTATCAAGCTTAGTTCTTTCCACCAGGTAAACATTAGTATGCCATATATGCAGTACAAAGTGGGGCAATCTGCTTTGCACTGTCTTCATAAGCTGTGACATTTGGAATTGCTACAGCAGCTAGGACATCCAGTACATCAGGGACATGCTCCTTCATTTCTGTGATAACCTTTTCCCAGGAAAAATTCTTTAACTCCTGTTTAGAAATCAACTTGAATTAGATTAACAGTCAGTTTTTTCTAGAACATAGAATTATACATTTGTATGTTATCATGTTATTTCCCTTAATTAAAAAATGCATCATAATTTATTTATTTTTTATTTAGGGTTCTTAAAGATTATTTTGATCAAATTCCAATTTCAAGTGAATTTTAAATTTTATTGGTTATAAAAAAATTACAATGCCTGAATGCATTTTACTTTCTACACTAGCCCTTAACCATAAGGTTGTTAGTAATTACCTTGTGCTTGGAAGGTGGAGTACGAAGTACAGATGAATTCTCAGCACTCCTGTTGCAGAGTTTCTGACACTGTTCATTCACATCGTTCTAGAACAAACACTTAACTGCATTTCTTAAAGGTCAGCATTGCATGATTATCTCAGCAATCTGATGGGTTGTGCATCCAGTCAACATCAGTGTGGCCAACGTGTCAACAGTTTTGGTTCCTTCCTCCAAAAGTGGCTCATCTTTGAGCTAATATAAATTTTAAAAAGCCAGAAAGAAAAATGTATTAAAGTTAATTTCTCTATTAATTTTATTATTTATTTATTTAGTTAGTTTCTTTTTGGGTGAAGGGCAGTCAAGATTGAGTTCCATAAAATTACAGACATTCAGTAACTGCATGTTTAAAGAAATGTATTACACATAATTTGATACCACTTTTTACTTGATTAAAAAAGAAAAGTAGAGCTTACTGGTTACTTACATTTTTGGCTTGAATGTTTACTTCAAACACAACAGGATGGTCTCTAAATTAAGGTCATCTGAAACTCAACAACTCAACCATTATGCAATTAGATTATACGAGAGAAAAAAAACATTTAAGTACAACCCAACAAGCATTTTTTATAATATTTATTATAATTCAAGCTAATAATCTATATTATAATTGCTTTATAAATACAGATAAGTATCTCTTTCATAGCTAAATTGTAAGCTACTTAGCATGACATAAGCTTGATTAAAAATTAGGGTATATTATTTTGTACTCTCGTACAGAGATCAGGATGCAATTTCTCCTCACCTTGCATGTATCAGTATCATGTATCATGTATCATGCATGTGAGAAAAAAATTATATATATATACCATGGCAAATATTGCTTTTCAGCTTGAGAATATTAAACACGTTGGAAAAACAGTAAGGAAAATGTAAATTTTGATATCACAGCTTGAAGGGCCTAGCAGCCAAGAACTAATCTAACTTTATATGTAATGGTGTACAGGTATTGAATTTCGCGAATATAAAATACCAATGGGTTCAGCAAACCAGACTCCGAGAGGATTTCGTCTTGTTTTGATAGCGTTGAGGGCTCTGTTGAGGATTTAACTCTCTTTGCAAGCTTTCGATTTTTCCCGTCGCGTTCTGATGAAGGTGCAGGAAGTATTGGCCGTGGCCGAGTTTTCGAAGGTTTGATCATGTGCATCTGAAAAAGCGATCTGCTGTGGGGCTCTGTAGCAGGTGCGTCTTCGTAAGTTCTGCTCTTCTTTAGGTCACGTCTCGTTTGCGGGGATCTTCCCGATGGACTCTCTGCCATTGTTTTCCCTGTTTTGACACGTAAAACTGACTCTTGTTGTTGCTTCGAAAACGCTATTTTTCTAAAAAATTCCTGGAACTTCACCACTTTATGGTAACCACATCTACAGATATATGACGGGAGATCATCGTTTAACGCAACTTTTAACTCAAAGAACCTTTCCAGAACCGAAGGAATGTTTTCTTGTGATGCCTTTGCACCAAATAAATCTAAAGGATGATTCTTCACAACTATGTTTTCGTTGCAGGTTCGACAAACCCGGGTCGCTGCTTTAGTCGGTGTTTTCGGAGGTTCTGCCATGTTGTGGGTTATCTGGACTTCCGTTTGTTACGCTTTTGTCTTTCAACAGCCAATAGGAATTGGCCCTGAAACCCGATTGGCCAGGGGTCCCGATTTTTCCAGCGCATGACAAAAAGGGACCCCTGGGGACGAGGTTGGGGAAGACATGGGAAAGTCGCCATCTTTGCTCATGCGAGGTACACATGATGATGACATTGAGAGGTAGGTGTAATAGTTGTACGTTTTACGAACCGGATATGGAATTGAACTAATAGTCTTTAATGTGGAGAAATCAGACATTTTCTGCAAGCTTGCCAAGCTGTATTACCAGCTCAAAAACAAAGGATCATAACAGTAAAGCGTAAGCTAGCGTTTAGGTTGCGTTGACATCAATTTAATATAATATTTATTTAAACCGCACAAGAAACTGTTAGGTGTAGAAAGCAAACTTTGAATGTAAAAAGGAAAAGTGAAAAAATATCAAGTTTGCTTTAGATTCAAAGCTGTCTTAAGTTATTTGTGTCATGTTGATGTTTTGTAACTCTTATTATTTATGTGAGTGATGTCACCCTGGCGTGCTTCTATATATTTCATTTGAGGTTATGGACTCATTACATGTGGTTTAAATTCTACATGTATCTGGAGCAGAAGTATATCCGTTGTTGGACTATTGTTTTTGCCCTAACATTGATGTCTTTCTTGTCTTGGTTGTGGCCATTCCATTTATAATTTAATAACCAACCCACCTCCAGCCACATGGCAATTACGTTGATGAGATGTTTTGACGTTACCGTTAACACTAAGAAAATGTGACTTTTCCTCAATGCACTGGAAAAATGTATTAATGCACATGCATATGCGTCATCACTCCTGAATACTTCAACCTTCTCTTGTTCTTCTTATGGGTCACAAATTAAAAATAGAACTTTGAGCCTTCTTTTTGGAATTGAGCCAATTTAATTCCCACTTTGGTGTTTTCGATTCATATTAGGGTTTTGGCGTGGGAAAGTTATTTCGCTATTACAGTCATAAGAGCAATTTTTGATGCTTTTTGCATCATGTAAGACATTGTATAATGTCGTGAGCTGGGTTTGTGATTATTATATGGAATGACCCTGTGTATCATATGAAGCATTTTTGCCCATCATCGTATTTTCTACCATATCTTGTAAACACCTTAGTTTTTTTGGTTTTACAGCTTCAACTTGACAGGTTGGATAATTTCACCGTCCATAGTAGCATGTATCTTTTTGTGTTCGTTGAAACATGCATAGCATCAAATAGACTCTGTGGTCAGTTTTTAATTATCAGCTTTTTGTTGCAAACTTCACAGCTTTCTGCACATTGAGTCAGCCTCGTTGAATTGTGGTTCTTGTGGTAGGCATGTTGGGACATTATTATTCTAGGGCACCAAAAACAGTTTTGAAAGGTAAAAAAAAGGTTAAGTTGTTACAGGGCTGTCACTTTAACTTCACTTTGCTTGGTATGTGCATACCAGGCGGGAACTGAACAAACAGGAAGTGCTTTTTGTCTATTTTCTTACTTGTATTAGCTAAAGAAATACCCGGTCCCCGGCTGTTAGTAACAGTGCTGCTTTTATAGTCTGAAGATGAATATAATATTTTTTTGTAGCTGAAATTTCCAAAGCATTAGTAGCAGCTTTAATGCATATTTGACTATTATAGAAGAAAAAGGTTAAGTGTTTGCACCCACATCCACAGGTAAGAAGGCCTTTAGCCAGGCAGAAAATCTGAAAGTACATGAAATAATACACACTGGTGAGAAGCCATTTAAGTGCAAGCATTGTGTCAAGACGTTTAGCCAAGCGGAAGAACTGAAAAGACACGAAAGAACACACAGTGGTGGGAAGCCTTTTAAGTGGAAGCAATGTAACAAGGCCTTTAGCCGGGCAGGAAGTATGAAAGCACATGAAAGAATGCACACTGGTGAGAAGCCATTTAAGTGCAAGCAATGTAACAAGGCCTTTACCCAGGCAGGAAATCTAAAAGTACATGAAAGAACACACAGTGGTAAGAAACCGTTTATTTGCAATCATTGTGTCAAGGCGTTTAGCCAAGCAGGAAATCTAAAAAGACATGAAAGAACACACAGTGGTAAGAAACCATTTAATTGTAATCATTGTGTCAAGGCGTTTGGCCAGGCAGGAGATCTGAAAAGACATGAAAGAACACACAGTGGTGAGAAGCCTTTTAAGTGCAAGCAATGTGACAAAGCCTTTAGCCAGGCAGGAAGTCTGAAAGCACATGAAAGAATACACACTGGTGAGAAGCCTTGTAAGTGCAAGCAGTGTAACAAGGCCTTTAGCCAGGCAGGAAGTCTGAAAGCACATGAAAGAATACACACTGGTGAGAAGCCTTTTAAGTGCAAGCAGTGTAACAAAGCCTTTAGCCAGGCAGGAAGTCTGAAAGCACATGAAAGAATACACACTGGTGAGAAGCCTTTCAGGTGCAAGCAGTGTAACAAGGCCTTTTGTTGGAGGACATCTGTTAAAAAACACGAAGAAAGACACCGTTGTTGGATTTGTCTTAGGATGATTACGACCAAGCCGTTGCTTCTTCAACATTATGATGACCATACGAGATTACTGGACCTAGCGTCGTAAATTTTATCAACGTACTCAAATTGTGACTTAACTGTGTAGAATGATTTATTAATATTTCCTTGTAAATTTGAGCTAATCAACCAAATGTTATATGAATTTGGATCTGGGTCATTTTCATGGTTGCTAAAAGGAACTTTCCTAATCATTTAAAGTGTTACTGTTCTTCCTAGTTGATAGCATGTTAGACCTCTCAACACTAAATAGAAAATCAAATTAAATACATAGTTGCTTTGTTTCGAATAACGCGAAAATTAAAGTAAGATGTTATTACAAGGCTATTTTTCAAGGCTTGTAGAAAGTCTAGTGTGTTAGTATGTTCCACACAAAACACTATTGAGTTTTGTTAAAAGAGGCAAGTTTGTTCAAGAAGGAGTTGAACAACGATTTTTTTTTACGAAAAGTTCAAAAGTTATGCTGTTTACAGCGAATCATTTGCACCCTTTAAGCCATTGTAAGTTATTTTCTGGGAAGCGCGCGCGCACTGCATGGTAGTAGTTTTAGTTTCTGGTCTGATTGGCGCATTTAGTGGTGGCAGACTCCTTGGACATTTAAGGTGTTTTCTTAAAAAAGAAACCTTAAACAGACAAGGATAGAGTTCTTTAACATTTACAGTCAAGCATCCATTTGTGTGTTTTAACCATTTGTTAAAAAATTCCGTTTCAGTTTCTCGTTTCATTGATGCTTTTAGGGATTGGAGATCCTCAAGAACCTTTTTCCTTGAAAAAGGTACCAAGACGTTTGCTATGGTGTCAATCATTTGCAAAGAGTTGAGATTTTGAACCTTTTTTGTTCTCGACTCATAAAGTTTGTGGCCGAATTACAGCGAAGCAAAGCAAACATAAATTGCGGTACCAAGACGTTTGCTATGGTGTCAATCATTTGCAAAGAGTTGAGATTTTGAACCTTTTTTGTTCTCGACTCATAAAGTTTGTGGCCGAATTACAGCGAAGCAAAGCAAACATAAATTGCGGATTTGTTATACGAGAGCCTCTTGGTTTGGAGATATACTGCGTTGTGTGTAAGTACTTTCCCTGTTAACGAGTGGCCTTTATAAGAAATGTTCAAGTGTAACAACATGATTTTAGCGATAAGGCCTCACGGAAGTGGGTTATTCGTTACTTGCAAAGCAGCTTTTTGTGCGGCCTTATCTTCATATATAATAAGTTGAGTTTTTGGCATTCTTTATTAACCGATATGGTTTTGAGGCAGTTCTTTTTATCGGCCATCTTCCCAGTAATCACATCATTGTAGATGATTCTGATCACTGGCGTCATTACATCAGAGGTTAAATTTTGAGGCAGCATTGTTAATATTTTTTTAATATTTAGGAGCGGTGTTGGGTTTGGAACCGTGGCGCTTATTTTTCTTTGTACCCTTGTTTTGTAGACGTGTTACTCTCATAACAAAGAAAAAAAAATATTACTTTGTGGTTCCGTGTTTAAGTCTCTTTCAGCTTATGGTTATTGTTACGTTCATTTTGCGCCAAAATAGAAAATATAGTGTTTAGTTTGAAGTAAATTGCTCTCTGGACTATTATGTTCTACATGTTAAACAGTTTAGAAAGTATTAAAATTTGCGTCACGAGTTTCCCTTTGTTTGCTTTGTGTATCGGAAATACGTTTCATTTTCCTGCCCCTGGTTGTTGAAACGTTGGATAGTGCTTTCCACCGGATAAATCATTGTCCAATGGATAAGTATTAATGGAAACAATTACATTATGCACTAGAGATCTTTGTCTAGTGGATAGCGCTTGAACACTGGGTCCTGAAGTGATCATTGAATTCATTAAATTAATCCCACAGTACTAGGAGTCTTTTTTCGTTAGACACCCATCCAGTTCCTAACCCCACGCAAAAAGGGTTACTTAATTTTAGTGGTATACGAGACACGCGAGGTTTTGCAAGGATAAGGACCTCGAGTTAGGCTCGATTTCCGCCGTTCTCTCGGTCCTCCCCGAGTAGAGACGGCTGGACACGTGAGTGGCCTGTCGTGGGCTGTGACGTAAATTCAAAATTTTAATTTATGCGTCGTTACCAAACATCGGAAATGAGAAATTTCATTAAATACCGAACAAATGTTGTACTTTGCCTCGTCGTCGCTTTGTCATTTGCCATGAAATTCAGCATAAAAATCAACAGAAACACGTACGGATTGTATTCTTTCACTTAAACCCGTGTGTTCTGCTGTCTGTTCAGGGGAGGAGCGTGGGCTCATTTTGCGAACAGCGGCTGGTAATTGAGCCTACTCTGGTATAAGGCGTACAGAAACTCCATACTGATGACGTCACATCACTCAGATTCGACTGGTCAGGAAGCGTGAGAAATTTGCTTGAACCAGTCGGATGCATTAGATCTAGGTAGTGATATTTCGTCTGCAGTCTTTCCTTAAACGTCTTCTCGCAGGGAAACCAGTGGTGGCGTCACGAAATGTCAGCTGTTTTCTCAGTCTAGAATCAGTCTGTCTACTATGCTGGAGAGCAAGGGACGTACTGGGACAACACAAACAAAGAGCTGACATCATATAAAATAGCAATTTCCGTCGGTTTGGTTGTCCCAGTACATCTCTTGTTCAACAGTATGGCAATTTTGTACCACGTGAACCGCTAGCTGTAAACAGCCTGTTTATGGGACAAATTTCAGCTAAAATTTGCTGTTGTGAGGCTTTTGACGTCACATGTAGCCAACCCCTCCCCTCACCCCACAAACAACGTTGAAGGCGATTTACGACAACCAGAAATTACAGGAATCACGAATATTGTATCACTTTCCCAAGGCCTTTTGTGCAGGATTGTAGGTTCTCAACACCACGCCAGCAGAGCTTCATTGGCTGAGGAGGAGAAATGGAGGTTCTGCTTGAATCACGTCAAACCTTTGATGTCGCCTCGGTCCCAACTTCTGGACTAGTCAATCTTGTTTGCTCTCGTCAAACTGTTTTTTTTTTCCGAGTTCGAGCATCCATTTATGGTTAAACCAATCGTCATAGCAGAGTCTGCTGAAGCAAGTGCACCACTAAAGGCCTGGGTTCGAAACTACAACTTAGAAAAGTACCGGGCATGCTTCCTTGATTCATGCAGAATCGTTCACAAGTACAAGTACGCCAAAATCAAGCAAGCGAAAGAAAGGCTCTGCTGGCAGGATGATTCTTAACAGAAGAAAGGTGAATTAAACAAAGATTCGCCCTGATATTTATTTTTATTTTTGGGACAAATCGCGATACTAGTCCTTGAGTAGATCCTCAAGGAACAGCATAGAACTGAGCGAGCGAAAACTGTTCCTGAGGTATAATATTCGTACTTCATGCCTATTGTCCCCGGGAAACTAAGTTATGGGGGGAAACAGCGACTGCCAGGACAATGGGCATGCCGAATAATGAGGGTATGCGAGATCAACCGCCACTAGGGGAGGTGGGAGCGGCGAAACTTTGAAGTCACTTCAACTGAACTCCGTTGAACTGGATAAGAAGCGGGCAAAAACCGAGCGATTCTAACCAAGGACAGCAATGCATCATGGTACCAGCGCGCAGGCCCAACACGACGGAATTTAAACGACTTACTCATTTCTTGCGTCACAGGCCAATTATGTATGCAGTGAGAATAATTATTATATTGAGGTGCACTGGAAGTATCAATGAACCATGAGCGACTCGTATTAACTCTATGTGATGGTGATGTGATCTATTTCAAATTCACACATTATTCCTTATACCTTAAACAGCTTGAGGAAGACTGAATTATCAGTGAGGATTTGAATTATAGTTGTTTTGTGTCGCGGTGGTTTCTCCCCTTTCGTAGCGCAGCGTCCGGCCTGGAGAAACCACTGCTCGCAGGGTATTCAATTGTCTGATATTAAAAAAGATTCTTTTTGAGAAACGAAGGAAAGCCACTCGGAAATTGCCCTCACATTCAAAATAAAACGGTACAGTAACATAATTTTTGCATTTGCCAAAGATTTATGACCTCTGCCAAATGATTGTAATCAAAAAGTGTCACTGTATGTTGCTGTTAACGTAGTTCTCGCTCTATTCTTCAGTACATAAGACAAAGTACTTGCATGGCTGAGTTTTAGAAAGATCTACGTCCTTAAGACGAGTGCGACAAATTACTGACTTAAATTTCCTTCCAACTGTAAGCTAGCCCAGTGGATTTTGAGACACACATTTCCCGTCCAGTGTATTCTTAGCCGATTTTGAAACGCAAATTTCCCTTTCCTAATTTGAGCCCTTCCAAAAATAACCCCCTCAAAAAAGGCGCTTATTTTCGGAATTTTACGGTATTTTGCGAATGGTAAAATCATTTATCGGAAAACCTAGTCTGTGCCGTATTTACTCGATAAAATGCCGTCCTCGATTACAGTCAAGACAAGTCGGGCGTTCCCCCAGGATCGCGTTAATGAAGCGATTATTTACAAAACGAATCCGTTAGTCGTTGCCGCAACCAGTCTCAAATTCACATCTGTCTTCCTGCATACGTGTAATGAATAATGACCCTTTAAGGTAACTCCTTTGTGGTCGCTTTCACCGATTTCTACCGTTTCTTTTAAAGGATCCGTTTGCGTAGAAGTTTTAACCAGTTTCTATGGTAGGTTCTTCGTTGAAGAAGGACAGTTTATCAAGTACACACCCTCCACATTGTCCCTTCACTTAGGCAGCCATTTTATTCATTTATTGACCCGGCCTCGCTTTGGTGCTGAATCTTCCGGAAGTCAACCAGGTTACCAGAAACTGTTTCCGCATGGTCTGCATAGTTCTAAAAATAACTTTTTTGGGATTAAGATATCCCAAAGGCGTGACTGGGAGTGTCCCTCTCTGTCCTATTATGGCTCTTGATAGGGGGTATCAAAAATGTAGTTGCTTTGTTTCAATTAACGCGAAAATTTAAGGAAAATTTTATTACAAGGCCATTGTTCAAGGCTTGTAGAAAGTGGAGTGTGAAAAAAGGTTCCACACAAAACTCTATTTGAGTTTTTTTTAAAAGTGGCAAGCTTTTTTAAGCAGGAGTCGAACCAGGATTTCTTTTAAGAAAAGTTCAAAAGTTATGCTTTTTATAGCGAATCATTTATTCCGTTTACCGCGATTACAAGTTAATTTCTGGGAAGCTCGCGACCCTTGTGTGGTAGTATTTTCAATGTTAGTTTCTGGTTTGATTGGTGCATTTAGTGGTGGCAGACTGCTTGAACACTTAAGACACTTTACCTGTTTTCTGTAAATAGACGAGGAAAGAGTTTCTTAACATTTACAGTCTAGCGTCAATTGTTGTGGTTTCGATCATTTGCAAAAAAGTTCAGTTCAGTTTCTTGTTTGATTGATGCTTTTAGGGATTGAAGACCCTCAGGAGCCTCCTGTTTTGTTGTCGTTAAAAAAGTAACAAGACAGTTCTTATGGTGTCAATCATTGGCAAAACGTTTACATTTGGAACTTTTTTGTTTTCGGCTCATATAGTTTGTGGCCGCAGCATAGCGAAGCAAAAGAAGCATAAATTGTGGATGTTTTGTACGGGAGACTAATGGTTTGGAGACATACTGCGTTATGTGTAAGAACGTTCCCTGTTGACGAGTGGCCTTTAAAGCAAATTTTTTCACGCATGGGGTGCCACAGGGTAGCATTCTAGGGCCTCTGTTGTTTGTGATTTACATAAATAACTTGCCAAATGTGCTTAACTCCTGCAACGCGTCACTTTATGCAGACGACACTGTAATTTATTGCTATGGTACATCCTCAAAGGAGTTGAGTGATAAGTTAAATAACGATCAACTGGGTGTGGCGAAATGGCTTCATGATCACAAACTGACTTTAAATTTGGACAAAACTAAATGCATGCTCATCGGTAGTAATAGGAAACGCGAAAGCAAAGTAGATTTGACTGTTTCAATTTTAGATCATAGTATAAGTAATGTTTGCAGCTTTAAATACCTCGGTATACATATATCTTCGGATTTCACATGGACTGATCATATTGAACACCTAACTGGGAAAATCAATCAGAGGCTTGGGCTTCTCAAGCGTATAAAGCATTTATTGCCTTTCAGGGCGCGTCTACTTTTCTATAAAAGTCTTGTTATGCCCCTTTTTGAATATGCTGATCTAGTATGGGGCGATAAACATAATATTACCCTTATGTCTAGTTTGCAAGTTTTGCAAAATAAGGCCGCTAAAGTTATTTTAAATAGACCATTGTACTCATCCTCCACTGAGGCATTAGCCGTTCTCAAGTGGCTGCCTCTAGAGAAAAGGCGATTTCAAAGAAGGTGTGTACACGTATACAAATGCATCAATGGCCTAATTAATCACGATATGGACTTGATTAGACAAGACGTACTTCATAGGCATAATACACGTAACAAAGGCAATTTTAGATTACCACGTGTCAAAAGAAATTGGGGGAAGCAAAGAACACAATATCATGCCGTTTCCGATTTTAACTCCCTCAGTCAGACGATCAAAGACTCAAGGAATGTAAATAGTTTTAAACGTAATGTTTTTAAGTTTTTAATATAGCTACTTACGTTTAATTTTTACTTATACTTATTTTTAATTTTTTATGCATTTTTTGTATCTTTTTAATCCCTTTGCAATTTTATAGCTTTTTTTGTTTTTATAATATATATCTAGTTTTGAGGTCCTTTTTGAAAACCATATCTTTTATGAAAAAGTTTCCTCAATAAAGATGATTATTATTATTATTTAAAAGTGTAACAAAACGATTTTAGCGAGGAGGCCTCACGAAAGTGAGAGTTATTCGTTACTCGCAAAGCAGCTGTTTCTGTGGCCTTATCCTTATAATAAGGTGTTTTTTGGCATTCCTTATTAACTGTAAAAGTGTTGAGGCAGTTCTTTTTATCGGCCATTTTTCCAGTAATCACATCAACATAGATGGTTATGATCACTGGCGTCATTACATCAGTGGTTAATTTTTGAGGCAGCATTGTCGTTAATATTTTTTATATATTTAGGAGCGGTGTTAGAATTGGAACTTTGACGCTTGAAATTTTTATTTGTACCCTCATCTCGTAGACGTGTCGCTTTCGTGACAAAGGAAAATATTTTTCGTGGTTCCGTTTTTAAGTCTCTTTTAGCTTATGTTTATTGTTATGTTCATTTTGCTAAAAAATGGAAAGTACAGTGTTTGGTTTGAAGTAAAATGCTCTCTAGACTATTATGTTTTACATATTAAACAGCCTAGAAAGTGTTGATATTTGCGCCACGAGTGTGTATCGGAAATGCGTTTGAACTGTATTTTTTTTTATCGTCAAAGCGTTTCTTATTTTCCTGCCTTCGGTTGTCCAAACGTTGGATAGTGCTTTCTACCAGACGAATCACTATCCAATGGATAAATATTCGGGGAAACAATTACGTTATGCACTAGCGCTATCCAGTGGATAGCGCTTGAACGCTAGGGCCTAAAGTGATCATTGAATTCATTAAATTAATCCCACAACCTTGGCCGTTGCTTTTACAGTACTAGGAGTGTTTAGAATATATTCTCGGTTGACAACCCATCCAGTGCCTGACCCCACTCGGAAAGGGTTACTTAACTTTATTGGCATACGAGACACGCAAGGTTTTTCGTGATAAGGACCTCGAGTATTAGGCTCGATTTTCGCCGTTCTCTCGGTCCTCCCCGAGAAGAGACAGCTGGACGCGTGAGTGGCCTATCGTGTCTGTGACGTAAATTCGAAATTTTAATTTATGCGTCGTTACCAAACATCGGAAATGGGAAATGTAATTAAATACCGAAGAAATGTTGTTCTTTACTTTATTGTCGCCTTGGTATTTACTATAAAAATCAGCAGAAACGCGTACGGATTGTATTTACATCGATCTTGCATTACCGATGGACTTGACAGTCGTCTCTTTCACGTTAGCTGTCAATAACTATAGTTGCGGTTGGTTGAACTTCAAAATCATACCTACCATTTGCCAGTTTCTCTAAGCTAATACTTTTCTTTGTAAATATTTTAGGCTTTAAGCTTAAAACGCCCTTAAACACGATAGCGCGCCACATCAAACAACAAATTTACATCCTTCGTTTGAATTGTGTTGTAGGAAAATAAATATATGTTACCTGCTCGATTTGAGCAGGTAACGATCTGGCCCCGGTTGCTTGAAAAATGGTTAACTCTTGACCAATGGTTAAAAGTTAACCGAGGGTTAGTTTCGGTTGCTCGAACGCTGGTTAGTGTTAACCAAGGGTTAAATTTTTTGTAACCATGCGTTAAATTTAACGTACCTGGCTACTAGTGTTCACTTGTTAACCATCGGTTAAAATGACGTGTGTTGCAAAATCCGTGAAACAAAATGGCAGTTGATTTGCTTTTTCGCTTCATTTTGTTAGTAGTTGTGTTAGTAAACTTTGATTTCAGTACTGCTTGAGTTACTTCAAACCTTTGAGCTATTATAATTGCAACTTCTTGCGCTGAAAAATTTGGTTTTCGTTTAAGCACGCGCTTTTATTGATAGCAGGGACTTCAACAGCTTCAAGTTAAAGCAAAGAATTTTCGGCACCATTTTACTGTTAAAAGTGAACAGAATATAGAGCTTTAGCATCGACGACGGTGAAGGCGCGAAAAGGTCACTGTTAACGTGAATTCGCGCTTTTTCATTCGCTTTGTCGCATTTATTCCAATTCGCTGAAAATGTCAAATGTAGGAGAATTTCCCTGGAGTTGATTTCTTGGAGACCGCACTTAGTTTAGAGAGAGAAAGAAAAGTTCGTTGTCGCTTGTTAACGTCCTCCATAAAAAAATGAAATTAGGCATTTTCACGTCGTAGTCGTGCAGTGACGGCATAGAAATGTACAAAACAGCGTGATGCGCTTGCAAAGTTGTTGTTTTATTAATCTAAACCTATTCCTTTCTTGACGTTCTCGTTACTGTCGCCTTCGTCGTTGCTATTAGGGACCTTACGATCCGACAACGGCGACGTCCATAAAAACCTCGCTGAAAAATAGACTCCGAATCCTTTCAAATCATTTCGCGATTATCCCAAGTCGCCCAGCTACTTAAAAGAAGGGAATTTATATAAGCGCTGAAGAGAGGGTCCGCACCCGAGTTCAGACAGAGATGGTAGAATTTATCGCCTTGCCGTTCCAGTCCTCAAAAAAGCTTTAAATTTGCTCATTTCACGTTGTAGTCGCGCAGGGACGGCAAAGAAATGTACAAAAAAGCGTGATGCACGTGCAGAGTTGTTGTTTTGCTAATCTAAACCTATTGCTTTCTGACGTTGCCGTTGCCCTCGCCGTCGTAGTTTCGTAAGGTCCCCATTAAAAGCTCCCTTAAACCTTTCGTTGGAAAAACTTATCAGACCTGTTTGGAGATGGTTAAAGTCTGGTATATTTTATTAAACCATTGGTTAGCTAACGACGGATTAGCGTTTGCTTAACAGACCTTCGAGCAACGGGAATTTAACTAACAGTTAGTTAACCCACGGTTAGCAAATTTAACCAACCGTTACCAACTAACATATGGTTAAATTAACCATCTTTCGAGCAACCGGGGCCTGATTGGTGGTACTTGACAACAGCAAACTCATGCATCCAGCCGGCTGTTCGGAGGAGGAACGTGGGCTCATTTGACAAACAGCGGCTGGTAATTGAACCTGCTCTGGTATACGACTTACAGAAACTCCATACTGATGACGTCACGCCACCCAGATAAGACTGGTCAGGAAGTGTGGGAAATTTGCTTGAACCAGTCTGATGCATCAGGTCTCGGTACTGATGCGTTGTCTGCGGTCTTTCCTTAAACGTCTTTTCGCAGCGAAGCAAGTGGTAGCGACACAAAATGTCGGCTGTTTTCTCAGTCTAGAACTGAATCAGTCTGTCTACTATGCTGGAGAGCAAGGTACGTACTGGGACAACACAAACAAAGAGCTGACATCATTTAAAATGGAAATTTCCCTCGTTTTTGTTGTCCCAGTACATCTCTTGTTCTCCAGTATGGCAATTTTGTACCACGTGAACCGCTAGCTGTAAACGGCCTCATGTTCATGGGACAAATTTCAGCTAAAATTTGCCGTTGTGAAGCTTTTTCAATTCAAATGTGGCCAACCCCTCCCCTCAACCCACAAGCGACGTTGAAGGCAATTTACGACAACCAGAAATTAAATTACGTTATTCCTTATACCTTAAACAGCTTGAGAAAGACTGACTTATCAGTGAGGATTATATTTGAATTATAGTTGTTTTGTGCCGCAATGGTTTCTCTCCTTTCCTAGCGCAGCGTCCGGCCTGGAGAAACCACTGCTCGCAGGGTACCCAATTGTCTGATATTTAACAAAGGCTTTTTTTGAGGAACGAAGAAAAGCCCTAATTGAAATTGATTGTACTCGGAAATTGCCCTCAAATTCAAAATAAAACAAGGCAAAAACTGTACAGTAACACATTAATGTTTGTATTTGCCAAAGAAATACAGTCTAACCTCTCCTTACGGACACCTCTCTATTACGGACAGTTCGTTTGGTCCCAGAAATACTAAAAATCACACATTCCCTACCTCTATAATACAGACACCTCTGTAAAGCGGACACTTGGCTCTGTCCCTTTGGTGTCCGTATTAAAGAGGTTTGACTGTATTACTTGGGCAAAATGATTTTATAAAGGAAATAAAGGGAGATGTAAAGAATCAACCATAAGAGGACACAGAAAAAAAATCTGAGACCCAGATGGGATTCGAACCCGCGACCCTCCGTGTTCTAGATCGGGTGCTCTAACCTCTGAGCTACTGAGGACTCGTTGGCGAGCAAGGGTCATTTTTGTGGGTTGGACTTACGAACCGCATCTCACAGTCACTCAGTCCATCGCAAGCAACACATTAAGGCTTAACTGTATCACACGTTCACATTAATAGTAAGAAATGTCTCACTCATGAAGGAGCCTTTTTTCTTTTATAATATAAATATCAGTGGCATAGGTTGGTCAAATGATTGTAGTCAGAAGGTTTTACAGTATTTTGCTGTTTGCGCAGTTCAGTTTTCAGTCTTGGCTTTGATTTCCTCGGTACATGTAGAAAACGTACTTGCCTGGTTGAGTTTTAGAAAGATCTACGTCCTCAAAGCGAGTTTCAGTAAAAAATTGCCACAAATTACCGACAAAAATTACCCTTCCAACTATAAGCTAGCCCAGTGGATTTTAAGACGCACATTTCCCTCCCCAGTATAAACGCAGCCGATTTTGAAAGGTAAATTTCGCTCTACGAATTAAGCCCTTCCAAAAATAAGCCCCTCAAAAATATAAGCCCCGGGGATTATTTTCGAAATTTTACGGTATTTTCCAAAATGTAAAATACGTTTATCGCAAAACTAGCGTAGGTGTAAAGGGCCAACAGTATGAATTAAGAGAAATAAGCCGATAGCAAAAAAAATATGAAAAGAAATCAAACAATGTATTTAAACTGAGGTGGTTCGATTGGGTTTCTTTAATATATAGTTGTAGCCTCCAAACCTCTGTTTGAAACTAAACCATCGAAGCGCGGTACGAAATTGATTTATTTTATTTATTTTTTGTCAACATAATATAAATACAAATACAAATACATAAGGGTGATCAAACAAAATAACAAAGAAAAAGTGGCCAGGATTCCGCAACAGCGTGAGCCAATTACTGCGGGCCCAGAAAATTAAAACAATAGAATATTTAAAATACAGTGAAACCTCTAGCCTGCGCGCAGACGAAATTAAACTCTGGTTAGCCGAAAAGAGATCTAACTAAAGTGAGATAAACCGATCGCATAACTTCAGTGCTTCGTGTAAATCCTGTATTACGTCTAATGTAACCTAACAGCTTATTTGCGCGACACGACTGCTCAAACACTTGTTTGCTCCATGTGAGGTCGTTAGCGACAAAGACTCCTAAGTCACGCTCGGTGACCACTGACTCTAGAACTTTCCCTTTGGCTTCAGTTTCCTGGATATTCTCTGAGCCTTGCATTTTGTCTCGTTAAAAGTAAGACCGGAGTCTTTTGACCAAGCGTCGAGTCGATTCAGATCCGACTGGAGAGACACAACATCAGCAGCAGACTTGACCTCTTTCAAGAGGTCTTTGTGTCGTGGGCAAACATAGCGATGTTACTCTGCTCTACCACATCCGGAATTTCCAAGGTTCGTTTGATGGGAGGACCTCCTCTAGCACCGGCGGTAAATGAATCCGGCCACAACTGATATCTCCACGAAACTTTCCATTGTGAGAGATTGTTTTTGTTTTACGTTCATTTAAATTATTATACCTTGGACTTCTGTCTATACCGTATTTACTCGATAAAATGCCGTCATCGATGATTACAATCAAGACTGGTCAAGCGTACCCCAGAATTTCATTAGTGAAGAGATTATTTGAAAAATGAATCTGTTAATCGTTGCCGCAACCAGCCTCGAATTCAAATCTGTTTCCCTACATGCGCATAATGAACAATGATTTTTTCAAGATAACTCCTCTGTATTCGCGTTTGCGGCATTAAAGCAGGAATAATGGAATCCGGAATCCGGAATCCGGATCCTTAACTGGAATCCGGAGTTGGTGCCTGTTCTGTGAAATCCATGGCACTGGCGGAAACTCTCTGTATTCGATCAGATTGAAAAGCTTTAAATGGATAAAATTGCTTTAAGGACGTTTACATCAATTTCAAGAAAACCGACTTGGGAAAAATTTCATAACTACCTCGCGTGTGATTTTACTGCTCATTAAGTATGCAGGAGTGCAGAAATTGAAACTGAAATTCACAGCCAAAGGCCGATTTAAAAGCTTCCAATAATGAAATTATTAATGCAATCTTTGGTGGGGAGGGGATGGTAGTACTCTTTACTGTAACTCCGTAGATGGAAAACTATCCTATAATACGGCTCCAATTCAGAACAATCAATCAACGCTGTGTAGAGAGCAATCAATCCATAAACGCCGCGGCGGCGTTTATTCAAAGATTATGCGTAAAGCACTTGGGACAACTTAATCTGCATCATCCAGACAATAACTACTCCATCTCAGCAAAAAAGGGACACGTTGGAACTTAAAAAATCTTTCTGCTTTACAAATGTTTCTAAATAAATTTTCCTAATTGTTATCAGTAATTGTGAATTTTTACATATATGTAAAATCCAGTAATTTTTAATATCGGATACTCTAGAAATGTTTATATAAACAGTTGGGGGGTTTAATCGAATAAAGATGGTATATATTTTTCAATTAAAACAAATATTTCTGCCAGTTTGGACCATCTTGAACGCGATGGGAACTGGGAATGAGGGTTTCAGGAAGAAACAAAGGAGCATGGGAAGACATGGGAAAGTCGCCATCTTTGCTCAAGCGACGTTCACAGATGATGACATTGAGAGGTACGTGTGTTAGTTGTATGTTTTACGATCCGGATATGTAATTGAAATAATATACTTTAATGGGGAGAAATGAGACATTTTTTGCCAAGCTGTATTACCAGCTCAAAAGCAAAGGATGATAACAGTAAAGCGTAAGCTAGTGTTTAGGTTGCGTTGACATCGATTTAATATAATATTTATTTAAAACGCACAAGAAACTGTTAGGTGTAAAAAGCAAACTTTGAGGTAAAAAGGAAACGTGAAAAAATATCAAGTTTGCTTTAGATTCAAAGGTGTCTTAAGTTATTTGTGTCATGTTGATGTTTTGTAACTCTTATTATTTATGCATCAGTCAATTCCAGCTGCGCCCAGCCCCCCCGGCTACTGAGGGGCATTTGCCCGCCTTGTCAGTCCCGGGGGTGGGGCATTTGCAAATCTTGCACTGCCTGGGGGCCGGGCATTTGCCAACCCCGGGGCCATTCCCGAGCTTTTGACACGCACGCAGTTTCCTATCAGAAAATAACTACACAGAAGGTTTTACTGGAAAAAATGCAGATTGGCTCATGTGTCAAGGACAGGAATAAATTGAAGAGGGTTGTAAAGGCATATGATGATAGCATTGAGAGGTACGTGTATTTAATAGTTGTACATTTTACGAACCGGATACACAATTGAACTACAGTGAAACCTCTATTAAGCGGACACCTTCGGGACCTTCACAAGTGTCCGCTTTAAAGAGGTTTGTAGAAACGATTAACATTCAACGGTTATTCTGTACTGTGATTATAACTTTGTTTGTAAGTGCAAAAACATAACAGAAATCATCAACGATAATAAGCTAAAATACGCGGGGTGCATCGATTTATCTTTATTAATCGACTACTGTAGGTATTTGAAGGACGTAATCTAATACTACTGTGATTGTCGATTTAGCCTGGTGTCCACTTAATAGACGTTTTTAACAATAGAAATTAGCCCAATACAATAATTATTTCAGTGTCCGCGTCCGCTTGATTATAATAGAGGTGTCCGCTGAATAATTTTTGGAACCCGGCTTAGTGTCCACTTAATAGAGGGTGTCCGCTTAATTGGGGGTTCACTTAATTAATAATAGAGGTTTAATTTTAACTGTAACATACTTTTATGTCGAGAAATCAGACATCTTTCGCAATCTTGCCAAGCTGTATTATCAGTGCAAAAAAAAAGGATGAATTGATAACAGTAAAGGGTAAGCTCGCGTTTAGGTTCCACTGACATCGATTTAATTTAAGCTTAATTTATTTAAACCGCACAAGAAACTGTTAAGTGTAGAAAGCAAACTTTGAAGACAAAAAGGAAATGTAAAAAAATATTAAGTTTGCTTAAAATTCAATGCTGTCTTAACTTATTTGTGTCATGTTGATGTTATGTAACTCTTATTTTTTCTGTGAGTGATGTCACCCTGGCGTGCTTCTTTATATTTCATTTGCGGTTATGGACTCATTACATCTGATCTAAATTCTACATGTATCTGGAGCAGAAGTATTTTCGTTCTTGATCTTTTGTTTTTTTTTCGCTGTGGGCATTCCATTTATAATTTAATAACCAACCCACCTCCACCAAAATGGCAATTACGTTGATGAGGTTTTTTGACATAATTCATATTAGGGTTTTTGTGTGGGAAACTTATTTCGTTATTACGATCATAAGAGCAATTTTTGATGCTTTTTGCTTCATGTAAGACATTGTATAATGTTCTGAGCTGGGTTTGTGAATATTAAATGGCATGACCCTGTGTATCATATGAAGCATTTCTTGCACGTCATCATATTTTCTACCATATCTTGTAAACACCTTAGTTTCTTCGGTCTTAAAGCATCAACATGACATCTTGGATAATTTCACCACCCATGCTAGCATGTATCTTTTTTGTGTTTGTTGAAACATGCATAGCATCAAATAGACTCTGTGGTCAGTTTTTAATTATCAGCTTTTTGTTGCAAACTTCACAGCTTTTTGCACATTATGTCAGCCTCGTTGAATTGTGGTTCTTTTGATAGGCATGTTGGGACAGATTATTATTCTAGGGTACCAAAAACAGTTTTGAAAGGTTTTCGAAATGTAAAAAAATGTCACGTTTTTACAGGGCTGTCATTTTAACCTCACTTTTCTTGGTATATGCATTTAATAGGCGGGAATTGAACAAACAGGAAGTGTTTTTTGTCTATTTTCTTGTTCTTATTAGCTAAGGAAATACCCGGACCCCAGCTGTTAGCAACAGTGCTGCTTTTATAGTCTGAAGATAAATATAATATGTTTTTGTAGCTAAAATTTACAAAGCGTTAGTAGCAGTTTTAATAGCATATTTGACTATTATAGAAGAAAATAGTTAAGTGTTTGCACCCACACCCACAGGTAAGAAGGCCTTTAGCCAGGCAGGAAATCTGAAAGTACATGAAAGAATACACACTGGTGAGAAGCCATTTAAGTGCAAGCAATGTGACAAGACCTTCAGTCATGCAGAAAATCTGAAAGTACATGAAAAAACACACACTGGTGAAAAACCATTTAAGTGCAAGCAATGTAAAAAGTCATTTAGCCTTGCAGGAAATCTGAAAAAACATGAAAAAATACACACTGGTGAGAAGCCATTTCAGTGCAAGCATTGTGACAAGGCGTTTAGCGAGGCTGGAAATCTGAAAAGACATATAAGAATACACACTTGTGAGAAGCCTTTTAAGTGCAAGCAGTGTAACAAGGCCTTTAGCCAGGCAGGACATCTGAAAAGACATGAAAGAATACATAGTGGTGAGAAGCCGTTTAAGTGCAAGCAATGTAACAAGGCCTTTAGCCAGACAGGAGATCTAAAAGTACATGAAAGAATACACACTGGTGAGAAGCCATTTAAGTGCAAGCATTGTGTCAAGGCGTTTAGCCAAGCAGGAGATCTGAAAAGACATGAAAGAATACACACTGGTGAGAAGCCTTTTAAGTGCAAGCAATGTAACAAGGCCTTTAGCCAGGCGGGAAGTCTCAAAGTACATGAAAGAAGACACACAGGAGAGAAGCCATTTAAGTGCAAGCATTGTAACAAGGCCTTTAGCCAGGCAGGAGCTCTAAAAGCACATGAAAGAACACACAGTTGTGAGAAACCGTTTAATTGCAAGAAATGTGACAAGGCGTTTCGCTGGCCACGATATGTGAAAGAACACGAACGAATACACACGGGTGAAAAACCTTTCAAGTGTAATCAGTGTAACAAGGCCTTTTGTTGGAGGCAAGGTCTTAAAGCACACGAAGAAAGACATCGTTGTTGGATTTGTCTTAAGATGATTAAGACCAAGCCTCTGCTTTGTCAACATTATGATGACCATATGAGGTTACTGGACCTAACGTCGTAGATTTAATGAACATATTCAACATGGTGTGACTTAACTTTGTATAATGATTTATTAATATTTCCTTGTAAATTTAAGCTAATCATTTAGCCAGGCAGGAATTCTAAAAGTACATGAAAGAATACACACTGGTGAGAAGCCTTTTAAGTGCAAGCAATGTAACAAGACCTTTAAGTGCAAAGACATGAAAGAATACATAGTGGTGAGAAGCCGTTTAAGTGCAAGCAATGTAACAAGGCCTTTAGCCGCGCAGAAATTCTGAAAGTACATGAAAGAAGACACACAGGTGAGAAGCCATGTTCTTCCCAGTTGATAGCATGTTAGAACCGACTGTCAACGCTAAATAGGGGGGTATCAAAAACGTAGTTGCTTTGTTTCAACTAACGCGAAAATTTAAGGAAAATGTTATTACAAGGCTTTTGTTCAAGGCTTGTAGAAAGTGGAGTGTGAAAAAAGGTTCCACACAAAACTCTGTTTGAGTTTTTTAAAAGTGGCAAGTTTTTTCAAGCAGGAGTCGAACCAGGATTTCTTTTAAGAAAAGTTTAAAAGTTATGCTTTTTATAGCGAATCATTTACACCGTTTACCGCGATTACAAGTTAATTTGTGGTAAGCTCGCGACCCTCGTACGGTGGTAGTTTCAGTGTTAGTTTCTGGTTTGATTGGTGCATTTAGTGGTGGCAGACTGCTTGAACACTTAAGACACGTTAGCTGTTTTCTGTAAATAGACGCGGAAAGAGTTAACATTTACAGTCTAGCGTCAATTGTTGTGGTTCGATCATTTGCAAAAAAGTTCAGTTTCAGTTTCTTGTTCAATTTAAAACTTTTAGGGATTGAAGACCCTCAGGAACCTGCTGTTTTGTTTTCGTTGAAAAAAGTAACAAGACAGTTCTTATGGTGTCAATCATTGGCAAAAAGTTTACATTTGGAACTTTTTTGTTTTCGGCTCATATAGTTTGTGGCCGCAGCGCAGCGAAGCAAGAGAAACATAAATGGCGGATGTTTTGTACGGGAGAGTAGTGGTTTGAAGATATACTGTGTGGTGTGTGAGAACGTTCCCTGTTGACAAGTGGCCTTTAAAGGAAATTTAAAAGTGTAACAAAACGATTTTAGCGATGAGGCCTCACGAAAGTGAGAGTTATTCGTTACTCGCAAAGCAGCTATTTGTGTGGCCTTATCCTTATAATAAGGTGTGTTTTTTGGCATTCCTTATTAACTGTGATAGTGTTGAGGCTGTTCTTTTATCGGCCATTTTTCCAGTAACCTCATCAACATAGGTGATTCTGATCACGGGCGTCATTACATCATTGGCTTATTTTTGAGGCAGCATTGTCGTTAATATTTTTTGTTTATTTAGGAGCGGTGTTAGGTTTAGAACTTTCACGCTTGAAATTTTTATTTGTACCTTTATCTTGTAGACGTGTCGCTTTCGTGACAAAGGAAAATATTTTTTGTGGTTCCGTTTTTAAATCTCTTTGAGCTTATGTTTATAGTTATGTTCATTTTGTGCAAAAATAGAAAATACAGTGTTTGGTTTGAAGTAAAATGCTCTCTAGACTATTATGTTCTACATATTAAACAGCCTAGAAAGTGTTGATATTTTCGCCACGAGTGTCTATCGGAAATGCGCTTAAGCTGTGTTTCTTTTTTATCGTCAAAGCGTTGCTTATTTTCCTGCCTTCGGCTGTTGAAGCGTTGGATAGTGCTTTTTACCAGACGAATCACTATCCAACGGATAAATATTCGGGGAAACAATTACGTTATGCACTAGAGAGATCTTTATCCAGTGGATAGCGCTTGAACGCTAGGGCTTAAAGTGATCATTGAATTCACTAAATTAATTCTACAACCTTGACCGTTGTTTTTACAGTATAAGGAGTCTTAAGCATATATTCTCGGTTAGAAACCCGTCTAGTTCCTGACCCCACCCGAAAAGGGTTACTTAACTTTAGTGGCATACGAGACACGCGAGGTTTTTCGTGATAAGGACCTCGAGTATAGTATTAGGCTCGATTTTCGCCGCTCTCTCGGTCCTCCCCGAGAAGAGACGGCTGGACACGTGAGTAAAAAAAAACGCCAGCATTATAATCGGATAATTAAATGCATTGATCTCAGTAATGCTAAAACTGCGTGGAGACAACTTAGGAAATTATTCAACCTGGGCAAATCCAAAAATATGCAAAAAAAACACATCTGAGGACTTAGAGAAGTTTTACAGTTACTTTAAAAAGTTAAACGCACGAAAACAGCAAAACGAAGAGTACATACTAACAAGATCAGAGGCCTTGGGGCCCCTAGATTATGAAATATCTGAACAGGAAACGGTAACTGCTATCGACCTCTTAAAAACTGGAAAGGCCTCGGGAGGTAGATAACATTTTATGCGAGCTGCTCAAACATGGCAAAAAGGCCCTAAAAGGGCCTCTCACAATCCTTTTCAATAAAATCCTAACCAGTGGTAAATACCCTACTCTGTGGAGTCATGTCCTAATTATACCAATCTTCAAAAAAGATGATCCGTCCAACCCAGAGAATTATAGAGGAATTACTCTCTTATCAGCCATGGGAAAGATTTTTACCTCAATAATGAATAGCAGGCTTTGTGACTATCTAATTGAAAAGGGCATAATTACTCCAGAACAATGTGGCTTCCGAAAAAAACATGGTACACAGGACAGTATCTTCATTTTAAAAGCACTAATAGACAAATATGTTAAATCTAAACCCAAGAAATCAAATAACCTTTTATTCACCTGCTTTGTTGACTTTAGTAAAGCATTCGATAGTATCCCCAGAGGGAAACTGTTTCAAAAATTGAAGCTAGCGGGAGTAACGGGGCGCTTCCTTGAGATTTTACATTCAATGTACTCCAATGATAAATCATCTGTGAAAATAGAAAATATGCTAACACCTGCCTTTCGATGCCATACCGGTGTAAAACAAGGTTGCCTGCTCTCGCCAACCCTTTTTAACCTTTATCTCAGTGACCTTTCAGAGGAATTTAAGGCCAAGAACCTAAATGACGTAGAACTAAACGAGTTACCGTTAAGTTGTATGCTCTACGCGGATGACTTGGTCATATTTTCCAAATCAAAAAACGGACTGCAGGATTATTTGGATTCCCTCAGTGAATACTGCAAAGAAAACGACTTGTCGGTTAACCTTAATAAAACTAAGGTGTTAATTTTTAATGACTGCGGGAGAACCATGAATAAGCACGTATTATACTATAGAGGCAGTAAACTTGACAATGTTAGCAATTACAAATATCTTGGCCTTCAGTTTAGTACTTATGGGACCTTCACGTACGCTAAACAGGAAATAAAAAAGGTTGCCCTTAAAGCTTTGTACAAACTCAGGAAGGAAATGGGCGACCATTTCATAGACGATGTACAGCTCACAATGAAAATTTTTGACACGCTTATTTCCCCAATACTCACCTACGGAAGCGAGGTCTGGGGGGTCGATCACGACGGAAAGCTAGAAAATGATCCAATTGAGTTTGTTCAAACAAAGTTCATTAGGTGCCTCTTGGGAGTTAACAAATTCTGTAGTTCAAATGCGTGCAGATCGGAGGTAGGCCGTTTCCCAATGCGAACAAAGACAAAGTGCAGAGCCATTAAATATTGGCTGAAATTTTGTGAGCCAGAGCACCAAAATAAACTCTCTGGAATAACATTTACAGACCAAATTGGTCAAGATAAAAAGGAACTTTGGTCAAGCAAATTAAAACGACTATTAAATCTCGCAGGTCTTGGCGACATATGGTCAGCGAAAATTAACACTCCCGCAATCATGAACTATATACGACGGAGACTCTTAGACATAGAACAGCAAACATGGATTAGTGAAATACAAATGATGAACGAAAGGATCTGCATCAAAGAAACAAGGAAATTTAAACGTACCCATGACTACGAAAATTTCCTCACAAATGTAACAAACATCAATCATAGAGTAGCAATCACAAAGCTAAGATTAAGCAACCACAAACTAGCAATTGAAACTGGACGATACGTTAAACCCTATCAACCACCAGACCAAAGAATCTGTCCATTATGTAAAACTGGATTAGAAGACGAGGAGCATTTTTTGATGAATTGCATAGCCTATAGGGATCCTAGGAGAGGCCGTTCAATACGCTAAAAAAGGAAACTAATCTTATTCTTGACTCTATGACTCCTAGCTCTGCCTTTGCAACGTTGATAAGTATGGAGCAAGGAGAGAAAACGCAAAAAATTGTGGCTAAATACGTATATGATCAGGGGCACCCAACGAGGATATAGTTGAAAACCACTTAACATAGCATTGTTGAACGTATTTTAGTATTCAAACGGTAGATATAGGCATATTTTTATCCCCTAAAAACTTTTCATCTGTTCGGATTTCCTAGCTGAAAGTCTAGTGATCCGAAAATTATAGGGATAAAAACTTACCTTCTCGAAAATTTCAGCCGGAAAAGGCTCCCGAAACTTCTAGGTGGCCTTTTTTAGTGTCAAAATCCGTTAAAAATTGGGTAATTATACCATTTTGTAGATGTTCGAAAATCCTAGGAGAGGCAGGCAAGCAAAAAACTTTACAACAAATGCTCCGAAAATTCTAGATCTCAAATCGTCTTCCGAACAGATATTTTCTCGAAAATTGCCGTTGGGTGCCCCTGTATGATCGCTTCCGCGAAAGAGATAGACGCGTTAAATATAACCTTGTTTAATAGTTGTATAAATTTTACAAATGTACACCTCTGTAATTATTGCACGAAAATCTTTGTTATCGTTGTAAACACATGTGTCTGTAGGCGCTCTGTTGATAATAAAACAGTTATACTATCCTATCCTGTCCTTATCCTATCCGTGAGTGGCCTATCGTGTCTGTGACGTAAATTCAAAATTTTAATTTATGCGTCGTTACCAAACATCGGAAATGGGAAATGTAATTAAATACCGAACAAATGTTGTTCTCTACTTTGTCTTCGCCTTGGTATTTGCCATAAAAATCAGCAGAAACGCGTACGAATTGTATTTACATCGATCTTGCATTACCGATGGACTTGACAGTCGTCTCTTTTACGTTAGCTGTCAACAACCATGGTTGCGGTTGGTTGAACTTCAAAATCATACCTACCATTTGCTAGTTTCTTTAAGCTAATACTTTAAATATTTAAGGTTTTAAGCTTAAAACGCTCTTAAACACGATAGCACGCCACATCAAACAACAAATTTGCATCCTTCGTTTGAAATCTCGTGCTGCAGGAAAATAAATTTATGCTGCCCGCTCGATTTGAGCAGGTAACGATCTGACCCCGGTTGCTCGCAAGATGGTTAACCCT